CCCTATATCTATTCTTGTGTATTTTGTTTCTCATTCTCTGAGAAGAGTCATAGCGTTTGTCCAACCGCCTTATTCGTTACGCGGGCTGGGTAGTTCTTTTCCTGGAGTTCGTTTTCCTTATGTATCATATTTGAACTTATGGCTTGTTGGCGCATTGTTGGCGTCATATGAGATTTTGGTAGTGTATGAGATAGCTTATTGCCTGAACAACTTGTACTGGGCGAGACGAGGTTATTGGGCCTGGGATAAGTGTGATCGGAGTTATGTAGGGTATATCAGAGAGCAAATATCATTATTCAGTTCAGAATAAGGTAATGGTTCTTGTCAAGAGGAGAGACTCCGTGATTTGTTGATTCAGCAGGTGGTTATTAGTTTCTACACATCTCTTCTGTCGCGGTAGTATTCACCGAGTTGGATCAGGGCTTATATGTGTTATGAGGTGTATTGCAGGCACCGGGTTCATAGAATTACAGCTATTGGAGTCGGAGGATGTTATTATGGTCAAGCGATTATGTGGTGCATGGTGGGATTTTAGCGGAGGAGCATGGTTATGCTGGGTATAGTGTTTGGTGATTGATGCGGTGTGGTGCGCCTTTCTTCGCGTTAGCAAGGAAAGGGTTGCGTTCGCTAAGCGGAAAATGGGAGAAAAAGCTCGGTGAATCGCGTTCGCGAAAAAGAAATCTCTGCTGCACAGGGCTGACTTTGGAAGCTTATATCTTGCAATCTTTAAGGAATTTGGAGATGATCCAAAAATAAAAGTTGTAGCACTTGGTGTCTAGTTTTCGGAAAGTCAAACCATTTGGAGTTTGGAGTTTTGTACAAAAACAGTTATGATTATTATACTAGAGGTTGTCTGGAGGAGTTGGGCAGCTTGCTCTTCGCGATCGCGATTGGTTTTCCGCGAGCGTGAAGGGCAATTTTGAGCTGAGAAAAGTTGTGCTTCGCGATCGCCAAGCATTTACCGCGATCTCGAACGGTTAATACCTGGGCAAGAAGCTATATTTCGGGGGTTTGGCTCATTTTGCCTCATTCCTTCAATGGGAGCAACCTTTGGGCGATTTTAGAGTGCCATTTTCATCATCAAACTTTAGGTAAGTGATTTCTACACCTTGTGAGTTAAATACATGGTTTATATATGGATTAAAACATGAATATTTATGAAAATTTTGGGATTTTAAGAGAAAACCTAGAAATTGGTATTTTTGGAATTTGACCACGAAATTGGACATGGAATTTGGAATAAATTATATATTTGAGTTAGACAGGAGAATTACCTCACTCCGAAGTTCCATAACCGGCTCCAATGCCACTCTAACACCTCAAGCCGATGCTCGTCACTCCAAAACTAGTCAAACAATGTGCAAACCAATAAAAATATACTCTAATACTCATAATAAATCAATTCATAACAATTCCCAACTCCGCTCGAAAAGTCAATAAAGTCAACTCTCGGGCCCACGGGCCCGGATTTCAAATTTTTTTTGAAGATAAACTTTACCATTAACACTACGAACTCAAATATATGATTTATTCCCAATTGCATGTCCAATTTCATGGTAAAAATCCAAAAATACCAAATTCTAGATTTTTCTCTTAAAATCCCATAATTTCCATAAATGTTTATTTTCTAATCCACATATAAACCATGTATTCAACTCACAAGGTGTAGAAATTACTTACCTAAAGTTTGATGATGAAAATGGCACTACAAAATCGCCCCAAAGTCGGGTCCCATGGAAGGAATGAGGTGAAAATGAGACAAACCCACAAAATATAGCTTCTTCCGAGGTACTAACCCATTGCGATCGCGGAAAACGCTTTGCGATCGCAAAACACAACTTTTCTCAGCTCAAAATTGCCCTTCGTGATCGCAGAAAACCAATCGCGATCGCGAAAAGCAAGTTGCCAACTCCTCCAGACAGCCTCTAGTATAATGGTCATAAATTTTCGTAAAAAACTCTAAATGCCAAATGATTCGACTTTGTCAAAACTAGACACCAAGGGCTACATCTTTCATTTTTGGATCATCTCCAAATTCCTTATAGATTGCAAGATATAAGCTTCCAAAGTCAGCCCTATGCAGTAGAAATTTCTTCTTTGCGAACGCGAATTTGCCTCCGCGAACGCGTTTCGCGAACGCGACCCTTTCGTTGCGAATGCGAAGAAGGGTGCACGAGAGCCAGAAAACAGCAACACAACTTGGCGAAATGACCCGTAGACCCTCCGAAATACACCCGAGGCCCCCGCGACCCTGTCCAATCACATCAATAAGTCCCAATACATGACACAAACCTGCCCGAGGCCTCAAATCACACCAAACAACATCAAAACTACGAATCAACGATCTAAATCTTTCTTTAAACTTTCAAACTTTGACGATCGCGTCCGATTCATACTTAATCATTCCGGAATGACGCCAAACTTTACGCACAAGTCATAAATCACGATACAAACCTATTCCAAGGCTCGGAACCCAAAACGGACATCGATAACACCAAAATCCACCTCATACCAAACTTAAGAAATTCTAAAACCTCCAAAATGTTAACTTTCCACAATAAGCGCCGAAATTCTCTCGGGCGACCCGATACTCAACCTGAGTATACGCCCAAGTCCGAAATCATCATACGAACCTATTGGAACCTTCAAATCCTGATTCCGAGTTCGTTTACTTAAAATTCAAACCTTATTCAACTCTTCCAACTTAAAGCTTCCGAATTTAGAATTTTCCATCTGAATCAACTCCGAACTTCCCGAAATTCAATTCCGACTATACGCACAAGTCATAATACCTGAAGTGAAGCTACTCAAGGCCTCAAATCGTCGAACGACGCGCTAGAGCTAAACAGTCGGGTCGTTACAGAATCCAATTCAATTATTTTTTAAATTCATCATATGAGTAAAATTCTTATTCAAGTTAAAAAGAAATCTTAGGGTACATAAATTTATTTCATAAAAAGAGCGTTGGAACACAAAGTAAAAAGGTTAGTATATTTATTAAGAATCAAAATATTTACAAGTATATGAGGAAGCACAATCAAAGCTAAATCCTAAACAATAACAAACTTTCAAGACTATATTATAAAGAGTTAACTCTGCTATAACTGGATAAATCCTTTGTAGATGCCTTTGGAGAAATCGAAATAATATTTCTATGTCACACATTATTTGCAAATATCATATCAAGAGGCATGACACTGTTAACAATAATAACAAGTGATGTACCAATAACGATTTTATTCTGAGGCCACCCACTTTAGACTTGGTATACCTCTTCAAACAACTTAAATAACCATCACAAATATATCAAAGCAGAGCAATGATGCTAAATTTGTAAGGAAAGTAAAATTGATAATATGGGATGAAGCACATATGACTAAGTGTCAAACAATCGAAATAATTGCCCGGAGTTCTAGAGATATATTGGATATTAATGAACCGTTTGGTGGAAATCAATGGTTTGGGAGGTAATTTATGTCAAGTACTACCAGTAGTTCCAAAATCGACAAAAGCAAAGACTGTAAAAGCTAGCTTGCCAAAGTTATACTTCTGGCCTTAAATGAAAAAGATTCGACTGACAAAAAATATAAAGTAAAAACATATCCAATATTAGTGCATTTAATCCCAATGGTAATAGTAGTGCATTTAATAAGAGAAATATTTCTATCATTAGATCAAAATGCAATTTGTGCAAATCGCATGATAGAATAAAAAAGATATCTTAGCTAGCAGAAATCAATATGTTGATCAATTAAATAAAAGGTTGATTGCAAAATTTTATAGTAAAACAAAATATTTTTCTGTTTTTGGCTCAGCAGAAAATGATACTAATAATTATTACCAAGAAGAATACCTAAATACTTTAATACCAAGTGGCCTTCTACCATACATGTTTGTTGTCAAGTTTATTATTTCTTACGTATGTTAGTGTCACCGTATATATAATAGACTAAGTTAAAATTGATCTTTCATTGTATATAGGTTGATTTTGAAGAAAAATATGTCCGTCATGCTACAGAAAAACTTACATACGTCGAATAGCTTATGTAATAGCACACAAATGGTATATAGAAGTTTTAACAATAACGCCATACATGCAAAAATTATAATATTGGTCAATGTGCTTCAAACTATATTCTTATCCCTGAATTCAACTCTCGTCTTTCGAAACTAAGAAATATCTGATTTAGTTTGTGTGAAAATATTTTTTAGTATGTTTATGTTTTACAAATATAATAAATAAAACACAAGGACAAACATCCTAAATAATGGACTATATTTACCGCAATATGTTTCTTGCACGAACAACTGTACGTTGCACTTTTAGAGAGATATCAAGATTGACAACAAGAGTTTTGGTTAAGGCAGAGCAACCAAGCATTAGGAGGAAACATACACAAAAAAATATTGTCCACAAAGAAGTGTTAACTAAGATACCATCACATTAGATACTTTTAAACTATAATACATAATTATTTAACTAACATGACAAAATTGATCATTTGTGTGTGTTCTGATGAGTCCTTTTATTTTAAATTCATGTATAATGCTAATGTAATAATATTTTTCGCCATTTACTGATTGTTGTATTATTATACATAAAATTTCTCTCATAAATTAACTTTTATTGTTCTTTCTTATAAATAAATATTAAAATCATCATGTGTCATTATTAATGTGCAACGCACGTTCATAGATACTAGTATAATAAAGAAAAATATAGAACAAAAAAGTTATTCAATGACTATATAAGTCCCTTTAATTTAATAAAGACTTTAATTTAGGTATATTGTATTGACAAATAAGATAATAATTAAAATTTATTAAAACAATACGATCTAATATGTTCAAACAATCGGTATTAAATTTTAATATGATCATAATTTAATTTAATTAATATTTTTAATATTGATCGGATAGGACTACTAGTTGAGACTTAAAAGTAAATATCGCACATTAGGTGGAGAGAAAAGAAAACTGATATCGTCTTTACGTCAGCTGACCGACAAAAAAAGGGTCCTATTCTACGCATCACCTAACCCCCTCGCAACTACTCCATTCACAACCAATTTCACCGTTCATCTGCTCCTTAGTTTCTCTCTCTCTTCTCAATCGTCACTTCCACTCTTCTTCTATCCCTCAAACCCTAATCTCAAACCTCACTTCTACTCTTCAATGGAATTTTCACTCTAAATTTTGTCCAGTTGCTCATTTTTCCCAACAATGTTGAATTTATACATCCTTATCCCGTCTCTTACACTTCTCATCTCTATCCCAATTATCTTTCTCTTAGCCCCAACTATCCTCCCTCCCCACCAACTACCCATTTCTCCCTCCGACGAACTCGACGATCTTTCCCTTTTTCATAAAGCCATCGCCGCTGATTCCACTTTCCTTAAAAAGCCCTCTCATAAACGCCCCTCCAACAAATTCCGTCTAGGTTCCGCCTCCATCCGCCGCCCCAAAATCGCCTTTATGTTCCTAACAAATTCCGATTTACACTTCGAATCCTTATGGCACAAATTCTTCAATGCTTCCGATCCGCATCTGTATAATATCTACATACACGCTGACCCTACAGTGAAAATCACACCTCCAACGGGTGTTTTTACTGACAGATTTATACATTCGAAGAGAACTCAACGCTCATCGCCGACGCTCATTTCCGCCACGCGCCGCCTTCTTGCTCACGCGCTGCTCGATGACCCAGATAATGCTTATTTTGCTCTAATTTCACAGCATTGTATCCCTTTACACTCTTTTAATTACTTTTACAACTTTCTATTGGATACCCAAAAATTATCCCAAAAAATGGAGTACCCTAGTTATATAGAGATCCTTAATGAATCTACTTCGCTATTGGATAGATATAATGCTAGAGGGGAAAATGTGATGGAACCAGAAGTAAGCTTTGATGAATTCCGGGTCGGGTCACAGTTTTTTGTGATTACAAGAAAGCATTCTTTAATGGTGATTAAGGATGTTAAATTTTGGAGGAAATTCAAGAAGACTTGTGTAAAAATCGAGTCTTGTTATCCAGAGGAGCATTATTTTCCTACGTTGTTATCAATGGAGGATCCAAATGGGTGTACGAAATATACATTGACTCGGGTGAATTGGACCGACTCGGTTGATGGGCATCCACATACTTATCATCCGGTTGAGGTTTCGCCCGAGCTGATTTATAAGCTCAGGGAGTCAAATTCGACATATTCCTATATGTTTGCCAGGAAGTTCTCGTCCGATTGCTTGAAACCCTTGATGGAAATGGCGGATTCTGTCATTTTTAAGGACTGAATTTGTGTTCTTCATGGTAAGTTCTCTTTGTTCTTTTTTGGGCTTTTTTAGTTGAGTTTAGCTGAGTTCATTCGGTAGATTTGGTGATTTGAGATGGAGGCTTTTTAATGTTTTAGGAAGTACTAGTAATATTACTAGAGTTAGCTTAACATACTCGAAGTTTTGACAATCTGGGTGGTGAATTCCTTCAAGGTGGTTTTTCTTTTTCTTTTATGGTGATGGGGGACATTCTTAGAATGTAACTAGGTTAGATGTTTTGAATAACTGAGCATATATAGGTGACTTGGAGCCTTTCGGGTGTGAAGAAGATAGTTATGTTTTCACGAATTTTGTGTACACTTTTTCTAAAACTAGTTTAACAGTCCTAATGTTGTCTAGAAAATACTACAGTACTTAGTAACTTTCAACTTCAATTGTAACAATTTCAGTCAATGCAACTCTTCTAGATATTAGTAAAGGTAAAAGTCTTGAAAATGGTACTCTTTCTTTGTTTGTGGCATACTCACCTTTACCTTCTAAGTCTTGAATTTACAACCAAAAGAAAGAGTACTCAGTTGAATGGTTTTATTAGATTTTGACTGTTTAAGACACAAGTTGAGGTCTTCTTTTGCCTCTTTTGGACGGCGGAAAATCTCCCAAGGGACAAAGGAAGAAGAAGAAGGAAATTTCATCTCATGTAAAGAAATAGTAGTTAAATGATGGCATCTGTAGTTTATATGTGGATATGGATTGTGAAAATTAGACCAGATGTCTCAATCATCATTATTAAAGAAATTCTGGTCAATTTTCTTGTAAGAGGGGTTGTGTTTTGGTATAAAAGCTAAAACCTACGTGTTAATGAAGCTAAGTATATGATAAATTCTTCGGTAATATGGTTATTGGCGAGTTTGGATCTGATGTTATATGAACTGAACCATGTTCTGTTTTGTTTATTTTTGTTTACAGCTGATGATGAAGAGGAGAAATCTAATGCAAATTGTGATGTGAAGATAAAGGATGCAACTTGGAGTACCACGTGGGAACGAGGTCTTGAAGGGTTTGTCAAAAAGAATGCCCTCAACCTAAAGTAACCCCAAAAGGACTCCAACTCAAAGCTTTGAAAGAGCTTTCAAAGAAAGCAAGTAATAATACTGTCGAGGTGTAATTTGGTAAAGTTCTTTTTTCTGTTAGGTATATGGTTTCCCACTGCCCGACTTCGCGCCTGATAGATTTACTGAGATGGATAAAGCGAGCTCCCTATCAAGAGATCTTTTATTCCCTGGTAAAATTTCTAGTTGTAGCTCGTGGGATTTGAGGGAGGGGATACGTATGTGCTCTCCCCTGTGTGTGGTGTGTTCCTCTTGTACATAGATGCAAATAATATTTGGATGAATTATGTGAGGATGATTGGAGGGTTGTTTGTGAATGTTGTATTATGGATTTAGCCATAAGCAAATCAAGAAAGGGCTAAATCTAAGTTGCTTTCCACTTGTGAGAATGAGCACTGGGTCATAATTCCAGTTTCCCCCTATTTTCGCTTCTTTTTCCTCCTTTCTCTCTCAGCATTTTATTTACTTTTCTTGTAGGTTATTCCAATATATGAACGATTTCTTTTTCTAGTTCGTAATTTATGGCAGTATTTCCCCTATTGTGATAGTAACACATAGTAACAAATAACAACCATGTAGTGTCTCTTCGAAACGGCGGATTCCCCTCCTACATTACAATACCTTGCTCCTTATACAGGAGCAGCTCTGGCTGAATATTTTATGTATCGTGAACGACACACGACCTTGGCTCCTGTGTCGTAGGACTTTCCGCTCGGCAGTCCACCGGGTGGGTTTGTTTCTCCTTACAGTTTCGAGTGTCTTCTAGCGGCCCATAGGCGGGTTTGTTTCTCCTTACAGTTTCGAGTGTCTTCTAGCGGCCCATAGGCGTGAGATGTACCTTGTGGTGTGGGGGGGGGGGGGGGGACATAGTACAAATATCAAATAGGGTAATCGCTGAAGTAGATCCATCCCATTTGTAATCTCTCTTGTATTTTAATGACCCTAGTCTAAATCACTAAAATCAAGAAACTTAACTAGTTTGCTTGATTATGATGCTAATTTGCAGCAGCCAAATGAAACCAGCAGCTTTCTCCATCATCTAAAAATCCGCAGCAGATTACACATCTATGGGGAGAAATGCTAAAGTTAGCAGCCCATTCTGAAAGTTCTGTTAGATTTAGGATTTCGCACCAAATGCGTCACCTTTTCACATACATTAAAGACTATATCTGTAGGGAGTATATCAAGGACCAAAATAAAGCAGCCCCCACACGTTTAAGGACTATTTTGATCATTTTCTCCTTTTCTGAAGGAAGATGCACTCTGAAATGAACATTTTCTACCTTCTTAGTTTTTCCTTTACTTAATATCTGGAATGTGCCTCTCAGCTCTTTGGTTCATGAAGATCCTAATCTTGCTTAGAATTGGGAAAGACAGATGAGTACTAGTTAATCAACATTCAAAATTAAAGGACAATATTCCGCTGTTAATTTTTTTTTTTCTTTCATCTGAACACTATGCTGATTCAAGGAAAGGAAAACATTTCTGCAGTTGCTCTTGTCTATTGGAGGAGAGTTTCCTTTGTCCTCATTGACAGGATTGCGAAATCTCATCCTAATGCTGAACTGACAAAAACCATTCACAAACTTCTGAGACCTGCAGGTTAAAGAACAATAAAACCAGTGCTTGACAATAACAGCCAACGTCTAACAATGGCGATAAATTAAAGAGAAGCTGCAGCTTACCTGGTGCAGTTCTGGGAGTGCAAGATTGTAACTGGCAACCCCGTGGCTCCTCGTTGTTGCTTTCTTGTTTACTCTTTTCTTCTACATTTTCTAGAATATCTTGTGATACATTTTTTTTGCGTGGCCTATCCCTTTAACTGCTACGTGCACGCGAATGGTTTGGAACATAAACAATTTCCTTTTTGCTCCATTTCTTAAGTGGTCTACCCAGTATTCTTCTCCCCAAATCCTGTCCCTGCTGCCTGCCTCTTCAGCTGTTACTCTTCTACTTGGTCATTTTGCTGTTGTAGATTGTTGCCAGTGACTATACGAACCTCTCTGTTACCATCCTGGATTGAAAATTCTTCGATCTTTTGTTCCATACTTTTTGGCATTTCTGCTTCTGACAATTCTGTTTGACTTGCCCTTCTCCTTTTCCTGCCACATCTATGTGCATGCCTTGGAACATAAACGACTTCTTTTTTGCTCCATTTCTTACGTGGCCTGTCCAAATTTCTCCTACTTCTATCTTGGACCATCTCCCTGTTTAACTGTTTTTTCTCTTCTGCTGGAGGGTTTTCATTGACTAGTTCTTGCTCAATTAGTTCTATAATTCCTTCATCTTCCTGTCTGTGAGGCTGAATATGGACCAGTAACTCGGTTTTTGCTGCTGGACAATGCTGATTGTCTTTGCTGTCTGTTCCGTCTAATGGATTTTCTACTTCCATCGCCTCCGGTTCTTCTCTGATACTTAACCTCTCTTCTGCCGCCAAATCGCGTACCTCAATCTGAACTTCTTTCAATGAGTCTTTCCAGCATGGCCTATTGCTTCCCTTCCTTAGCACTTGTCTACGCTCCCTTCTACGTGGCCTAAACCTTTTCTTCATTGATTCCTTCTTCTGCTTCCTCTTCCTTCCCTTTTTCTTTGGCCTAGGACTAGTGTCAGAACTTGAGACACAGGCAAAGCTGCAGCTAGAACTAAGGCAAAAACTGGAGAAAGAATCAGAACTAGTGCAACCACTGGGGCTAGAATAGGGAGTAATAATATCGGCAACTGCATCATGAAGCCTGTAGCGACCACAGGGAGTCGCTACAATTTCACCCTTTTCACAGAGGTTTCTCATATGGTGCCTGAGTATAGTAACATGAGCCCTTGGCAAGTCACCCCATTCTCTCAAAATGTACTCTGATATTGCCTTTTCATAAGAACCGCCTTCTTCATTCAACTGCTCAATTGCTCTCTGAATCATCTGTAAAAGAAATCGAAAACCTTAATAGCTGTTAAGCCTGTTATGAAAACTTTTCAAGACGCACTTGCAATGAACAATACTTTGTCTTACAGTTCCATCGTATAAGTATAAATCATCAGAAAAAATGGTTAGGTATATTCATATTTACATGCTCATAACCAGACATAATAAAATTTGAAATTTTAGAAATTAAAAAGCTATGTGCTGCTCCCTTTGAACTGCAGATGTTTCCTCAAATTAACTTCTCTCCTCTTTACTAACTGAGGCAATCGGAGTATCAATATTTCTAGCAAAAGCAGAAATACCATAAAGTGAAACACCTAATAGAACCAAGAAAATGCTCCTCTAAGGGTTGGCCTGCGATCACAAGCAAAAATCTGGAAAATAGTGGAGAAATATAATATTCCTCTGTTGCTGAGGTTGTTTAGACAAATACAGCACACACACACACCACCTGCAGAGGACTTTTTAACCATTATTAAAGCATATCATTATGTTTTCGCCTATGACAACTTTATCTAACAGTTCAGAGGATTTTCAGCAAAACGTTATAAATCATGCACAATGTTAAGAGTAATTTAGCAAATGCTCTGGCACCAAATATCAGAAAATGTTATTCTTTTTATGCCGGCCTATTTGTTCTAAATTCTTGGGCTGCTTCTTTCTTCCCTTTTTACCATTCAGTTGGGTGTTCAGGACCAATTCTGCAGGAATGTAACTCATCAAGAGATGAACATCAAGCATGAAATTACTGTTTGAGCCGAAGCTTTGCAGTCTAAATATGATTAACTATTCCTTAAATCATAGGTGCATGTAACGGGTTAGAAACCTGCCACAAACAAAAGCCTGGTGTTTAAGTGGATTAGCGGGCCCAATATACTTCTAGCTTCGAAGCAAGGATTTCTCAGTTATGTAAAAAAGAGGACAGTAAAAACATATCTCAATTTAAAAAATCTGCGAAATAACATTCATTTCCCCCCAGACATGCATCTATCTATGGGAGTATAAAGAACTTATATCTTAAACATAGACAATGCTACTCAAAGTAAAGAGCATAGAAAAAGCAGATCGAATACACTTCTTAGATTTCTTTTTAAGAATGGAAACTAAACAAATACTCTGACAATATAAAATACAACAACAACGACCCAGTGTATTAAAGAAAAGATGAAAGAAGCACTGAGATAACAAGTAATATAATTTGACAATATAAAATGTAGTAACAAATTTCGAAGAATGCCCTAAAAAAGATAAGACACTCAGAACATGGCTCAATCCATAAATTAGAAAGAGTAGATACATTTTCATAAACATGCATAAAGAATTATTAATGTAGAGTGAGTTACCCAAGAGTAAGCGGGGTGATCGGGAGGATGAAAATGAGGGAAGAACTGATGAAGCTTCTGTTCAATGAGTGATCTTTGAGTAGAGGAGAGTGAATTGGTAGGAACAGAGGCAACAGCAAATTTCAAGACCAAAGCTTTGAAATTTTCCATTGCATGCATATACTTCTTCTGGTCGTCATTGTGGCTGGCTCTGGCTGAGGATGGGACTTCTTGGGTTTTTTGCGGTGGCGTTTCAGCCGCAGACGGTGGACTTAGGTGGTCCATTGCAGCCAAATTGACACTAATGACAAAGCACACAACTGATCAGTATATTGGAGTAGGGTACTAATTATAAAACTCTAAGAATGTCCCCGTATTTTTACCTACACGTGTCTCTGTCAAAATAGAGACGTGTGTACAATTTTATCAGGTTATATAATTAAATAATTAAGCCAAGAAGATGCACTTATCATGAGTAGTCGTACGTTTCTCCCTCTTTATTTTTGCATCAGCTTATATCTACGTCAATACAAAGTAGAGGTGTTAATCGGGCCGGCTGACCCGTTTTTAATCCGGGTCAGCCCGGTTCAGACCGTTACTATAGCTTTATGAGCGGGCTGGGACGGGTTGGTCGGGGGCGGGTTTTGGACGAACATATTTTGGATACCGGTGCATCGAACCCGTTAACGGGTTGTTAACGGGCTGCAGCCTGTTTCAGCCCGGTATCCGTTATAAATTTTTTTAATTTTTTAAATTTTTTGGACCGTTGCCAACTCAGAAATGACCGTTGGGGAACGGCCAGATTTTGCAGAAATGGCCATTTCGGCCTCCCCATTAAAAATATAGCCCTCTCACCCCTAACAATTGAAAAATTACATTTTTAACCTTTTAAAACCTATAAATAGCCCCCCTTCTTCTTCATTTTTTCTCACAATTTACTCTCTTACTACTCTAATTCTCTCTCAATTCTCTCTTGATATTATTGTTCCTAAATTCTCAAATCTCAAATTCTCAATTACTTATTATTTCAAGTTTCATCAATTATTTAGTTTAGTCATTACAAAATTATTATTATCAAGTATTCAAGTGAAGTGTGGTATCAAGTACTATCAAGTATCAACTATCAAGTTTCGGTCTATCAATTAGCCCTTTGAAAAACTATAAATACACCCCCCTCTTCTTCATTTCTTCACTCATCTCTCATTTCTCAAACTCAAATTCTCAATTCAAGTTAAATCATGCCCCGTACTTCTAGAGTGCGCTCATATGTTTGGGAACACTTTGAGGTGGTAGAAGAAAATAAAGAAGTTCAGAAAGTAAAGTGCAAGAATTGTGGTCTAGTCTTAAATCTTCGTCCAAAGTGTGGCACAGGCTCTTTAAGGAGGCATATGAAGAGTTGTCTTGAGCGTTCTCCAGAAATTCATATTTAAGTTGATTTGAGACAATTTGTGTTATTTTAAAATTATTAGATATATTTATGCTTAATGTTTTAGTTTGTTAGATTAATTTGAAGTGTTATTATGCATGAAAATTTAGTTTTACTCTTTTTTCGTTAATTTACTTGTTAAATGCAAACTTCAATATGTGATATACTATTTCTTATTTTTTATAATTGATGTAAACTTTTAATTTGTAAGTTAAAAAATAAAAAAATAAAAAAAGAACTTGCAAATTAATTTGAAGTATTAAATATATAAAATGAAAGCCTTCGGAGTTTGTTCCTTACATAGTGCCTAT